ACATGAATTCGATCGCCTTCCCTTAGATAGAGACCCAGCCGGGGTAGCACCATCTTCACACTGATTATGCGAATAAGCTTCACACATAAACACTTCCTGATATGTAAACACCCGGTCACAAGCAACCTCTTGTTTTGTGTTTATTGTCTCTACTGTCAGATTAAGTTCAATGCCATCTGAGTGTCCATTATATTGCCTCAATTCTATCACTAAGACTATTTCCTGCTTGAAATTTGCCTTTTGACCCACCTCCTCCGCGCCGGGCACGACGATGGCCCTGACGATGAGGAAGCTGGTGTAGGGCGTGTAGCAGACGGCGAAGACGAGGAGGATGACGAACAGCAGGGACAAGAGGCGCCGCCGGTGCTTCCGGGCCGTCGGGTGGTCGCGCCCGCGCCTCGCGGCCTCGTGCTGGTCCAACTGCGGGAGGAAGGGGGGAGGTTACATCGGTTTGGGCGCACGAAGAATTTACATATGTATATATATGTGTGTGTGTGTGTGTGTGTGTGCGCGTATGTGTGTATGTGTGTGTGTGTGTGTGTGTGTGTGTGTGTGTGTGTGTGTGTGTGTGTGTGTGTGTGTGTGTGTGTGTGTGTGAATGTGTGTATATATGTGCATGTGTATATCTATGTGTGTGTGCCTGTGTGCGTACGTGTGTTCGTGCGTGTGTATGTACCATATGTAAATACATATACTTAAACGCGCTGTCCTCCTCACCTTCCAGAAGATAAACATGTACGAGACGATGAGGAAGAACATCGGGATCCAGATGAGGACGACCACGAGGTACGGCCAGTATTCCTGCCTCACCCACGACTTCTCGGCGCAGAAAGTCTCCTCGTAGTCCAGCCAAATGCGGTCCTAAAAGACACCTACTATTTAACAAAGTACCAAAAGTGGGCTCTTGCCGTAAGTCATGTAGGCCTACATCTTTATGGGCCTAGTGCAGAGGTAAAGTATTTCCACTGCAGCGTCAACCCACCACGAAGAAGCGGTAGGCGACGAGGGGCGCGGCCACGACAGCCGCCATGACCCACGTGGCGACGCAGCCGGCGAGGGCGAACCGCCTGCTGGACTTCCTGGACCGCGGCGTGACGATTTCCGCCAGCCGCTCCCCCGTCACCAGGGAGAGCCGTTCGCCGGAGACCAGTGTGAGGCTGAACACGGACACCATCATGACGAGGGCTTCGTGTGTGGGAAAAAGAGGGAAATGGAAAGATCTGAAAGTTACTGATTTAGGGAAAGAAAGATTAACTAACACAGGTCTGTTTTGGTTAAACTGTTTTTATTTTTTGTCAATTAAAGTTTTTAGCCACGGTGCCTCACTCTGGACGAAACCCCTCAGTTTGCAGCCTGCCGCGCCAAGAACGTATTCCTGGTAGAAGTCTTCTGCCATGAAGAGCGCCGGGCAGAAGGCGGCCATGAGGAGATCAGCAAAGGCCAAATTCCCGACAAACAGGTTAACGGGCGTGTGGAGTCGTTTGTGATGCACCAGAACGTATAGGACTCCCGCATTAGCCACCACACCTATCTGCGTGGGCCATGGAAGTTTTTAATACAATTTGAATACAGATATACTAGTATAATAATAGAGTGAAGTACAATAATCTTATCTTGTCAAGAAGCAAGAATATGAAAATAGATTATAACTTGAGCCCATTGAACTGGAATTCCTTGTGGCTAATGTCAATAACAGTAATCATCAACAAAAATATTATATATGATTTGTTATAAAACATGAACATATATCAAACATAATAATTAATAAGATCATTAACAGATTACATTACCCAAAGATACTAGGACATATTTATCTACATTGATTTATTGATGTTACAGGGTTGACAATATTATGTAAGTGAGCTGGTAATTATTTTTCCAAAGTATACAACCATAATAGCTTACAAACATTTTACTCAATTCGAATTATACGAATTATACATTATATTGGAGGAATATGCACACACCATTTAACAAGAAAAAATATAAGAAGCAAAAAAAATCATCATCTTTAAAATATGTTTTGATGACATTTAAAACATAAACAGTATACAAACAATAGGTTAACGGAGCATGAAGAATTAAAGAAACTTACCAGTATGATAGGCATCATGAGAACCACCTTAATGGCCACTTCAGCTGGACTTTTGACCCCCCAGATTTCATTGGGGAAGTTCATGCACACCGAAATGACCTTCCTTTCTGCGTGGGAGCCATCTGGTGGGGGAAGCGAAGGGCAGGGGGTCATGTTACGGGTGAAAATGGGTCATTCGATTTGAGCAGTGGTTCTCTAAAACGCTGACACGCACCAACACTTCACTCTATTCATGTTTAAATACGATTGTATAAAGTGCACTGTAAGAACACTTGATAAGCTATTATAGATGCCAAATTTTAGGTAAAATTAGCTAGATTTCTCAAAGTTACTATCTAAAAAGGCAATAATTTCAATGGCAAGTAGAAGCAAAGCAATGTAACTTGTGAAGAACAGATATCCTATCAGTCCGTACATACATAGGTCGCCGTTGATGCAGTTATGCGCCCTATGAGACACATCTAAGATGCAATGTGTCACGTGTGCGCAGAGGCAACGAGGTGCAGGTAGAATGTATCCATTCACTCCATCAACCTCCGAAGTCCTGGTGCAAACGACAGACCGACCTTGGGAGGTAACATTCTCTGGACATTCGTCTTTCATGGAACTTGAATCCTGTGTTAAGTAGAGATGACCTTCGTGGCGGCAAGTTTCGTATGAGAACGCACAGCAGCTTCGAGTAATAAGAGTACGGGGAAGGTAAGTCTGGTGTCGAAACTCTTGGGTGATAGAAGGTGTTTGTGAATCTTTCGTGATTAGAGTTTCCGTTGTAATCCAGAGGAAAGGCATCTTCCTTTTCATTTGTATTAATTGTTCTGGACTTTCTGAGTATGGTAGTGATTCTGTTGTGGATAACTGTTCACCTGACTGTATAGTCATTAATGATAGTGGAATATATTCAGTGTCATGTGATTCTGAAGCTTCTTTTAAGACAGGTGATTCTATGGCACCAAGTGCCGTTAGCATTTCTGTGGTGCCCATCAATTCTGCTGAAAACGGTAGCATTTTGTTTGTGCTTATATCCACGATAGTACTGGACAATGTATTGGAGATATTAGAAGAAATCGGCTCCGTTGTCATATTGGCCCCAAACATTTTATCGGAACTTAAAAAGATATATGTCTGGCAACTATCAGACTCTGTGTCTTGAATATTTCGTAGACTTTGTTTCCTTGAATTGTTCACTAGATTTCGTGGATATTTCAGTTCATTAGACGTTGGAAGGATCTGAGTGACACGATATTGTGGTGATGGTGTGGAATGCAAAAGTAGATCCTCGGATGCAGTCGATTGTGATATCTCCTGGATCATATTTTCTTTCAAGAACCGCTTTCTGTTTCCCGTTTTCGACGTATCGATATGTGAAAACACAGTGTCCTTGGGTTTTGTTGAAAATCTTATCTTTTTAGGCGTACCGCCGGCAGTCATCGTTGTACCAGGAATCTGTTTGAGACATTTCACCTTTTTCATCAAACATAATATGTTGAGAAAGTCAGCAGGGGGAGCACCTGCAGCACCATGCGTCATTTTGTGCAATAAGAACTGTTTCCTTAAAGGAACCATACTCACGCCACGTTTCTGGGCCTGAAGGGGAGATGACATCTGTAATGTTATTTCTGGGGATCTTTCCTCGTGTGACTTTCCTACATCACATGTGGGTAGAAATACAAAGACGATCACAAGAGTCCTGATAACGTGCCTCCGTCCATGGCAGGAACTCAAACACTTTAAAGATTTCCAGAGTAATTCCCGAGTTCGCATTGTGCCTGCAAACGATTATTTTATTCCCTTGTTCACAAACCACTTGTTTCTCGGTCAGCTGTTGCTGCGACCTGGCGAGCATTGACCGCCGATAAGCCCTGATATTATTAGTGAGACTCGAACTGCGCATGTTTGCTTATACTTTCGAACGATGGTGTTTTTACATAACATAACCATTTCATCTCTCTTGCGAGGTAGATGTACGTAGTTCTGTAGTAATACTAATTTGAATACTCTTATTTTCAAACGACAAGAGTCTAAAACAAATTAATCTATTTCCTCATATATGAACGTTTCAAGTCTGCATTTAGTAAATCGTGAAATATCACTTCATGAAAGTAAACATGGTATCTTTTAGGCAACTGTTAAAAGCCATTAGCCCCCTAATCTACCCTGAGCAGTCAGCGAGCTCCATCATCAAGTGTTGACAGAGCTAGAGGGGCGGTGCACTCTGCGGCCACAAAGACAGTCTACATCTACACCCTGCCTGTGTACACCCTGTTGATCGATATGTGATATCAGCTGACAGTTCGCTCTATAAACTTTGATGCAAATTACGGTTACCTTTAGTGGTAGCATGACAGTCACAATGTGTCTAAGTCGACACTTGAAATCAAATATTAAACTTCGTTGTATGGGACTTCCTGATAATGTTGACGACGGAAAGTTTTGTGTATAAGCATTTAATACCCGAATTTAGATTCATTAATATAAGTAATATAATGGGAGGGGGATTCATCCAGTTGAAATAGGAATTTTCAGACCCCAAAAAGTGCGAGACAGATTTAAGGTTTTTCTTGGATTCTTGGATTATTCAGTGCAGTCTCATATTAAGACATAATGACATGTTTCTATTGTTGTCGTTTTTACTTTCATTAAGGTACATCTTTATTTCTGATTTGTTTATTAACTAATTTGAATGTAATGAATCTTTAAAACTTTTATATACAGTGGAGAAACTGTGCATAAACGCAGAAAATGTCCAGTATTTTCTTGTCTATATGTTATTATGGGGAATTGATATGTAATGTACCTTATACCTTTTCGTCTGCTTGTCTGCTGTTAGGACAATAATACAGAACTACATTACAGTTTAGTTTATTCTATTATACAAACTTTTCACTATAAATGTACTGTATCACAGACGTTTTCTAATAAAACTGTTGTTAATTTTCTTGGAATTCTGCACTGTTTGATTCAATGTTAACGTTTTATCTCTCTCTCTCTCTCTCTCTCTCTCTCTCTCTCTCTCTCTCTCTCTCTCTCTCTCTCTCTCTCTCTCTCTCTCTCTCTCTCTCTCTCTTGCACCGTATCTCTCTTTTCTACAGTATTTTAGCATCATTCATAGCATTGATACTCTTTGGGAAACAAATGTTTAGTTATCTTTAACCAAAACAAAATGAGTCTGAGCATCAGACTTTACTGTAATATAAATTAAACAGCATAAATTATTATGATCAGACTAACTCAAAACATAAGCAAAACTTCAGCACTGTAAATACTATGCCTATTAACTAATAAGCAAAATCTGACTAGTGTTTTGTTTTCATCACATGTAAAGAAAAATGGCATTCTAAATCAAAATAATGTGAATAAGAGACTATCTATATATCTTTCTTAATTCAAAGAAGATATGCCTGAGTGGTGGTTACGTCATTCCTCTCTCGTTCTTTGACCTTTAAGGCTGAACCGTATAAGCGTCCGGGACCGTAATAGCCAAGTCTCGCGCGTTATTTTGTATCAGAACCAAATCTGGTTCCTGGTTCGCCTCAAGGAAGAATCTTCAGCTCAGCCATTCGACGATGACCTCGGGTGTGTTTTCTGAGCATTACGAGGTCTTGCAGGGTCAGCCCACGCCACGTGCGAAGGCCTTTCATCACGTGTAGGTTTTCGCATGTGTCCACGATGAGGCGCGCGGTGCTCAGGCCAAGCACGCAGTTGTACAGCTCCAGTACCTACGGTGTGCATGGAAATTTTATGGCGAAATGCATGTGACGGTTTTGTCTACTATCTACTACTTTCTTTTATAATGTCTTTTTCACATTTTGTATTCTTATTGTTATTAGTGTTAACATAGAATATATTCAACAAGCAAAGAGGAGGAAAAAATTATTGTACAGCACGCTTCTCACCTCGAGTTTATGCATTCGATTTATCGCCAGGATGTCCAGCAGGTCATTCTCCACGAGCGTCGTGGGTCGACACACGAGGCGCCGCAGCTGCAGGCACTTCCTGAGAGCCGCAACCAGTCCTTGCCGCACCAGAGTGAAGTCCTTCGCCCACGCCTTCGGCCCTACGCCCGTCATGCAGTCGATCTCCAGCACCTGCGAAGCAAGGCACGGTTCAAAGCAAGTGGTTTTAGCATCATAGGGATAAGGTTAGAAGATTTAATGTCTCTCTATTTACACATACTCACATACATATGCATACATGCAAACACAACCCCCCAACGCGCACACACAAACACATAAGCCAACACACAATCATACACACACACACACACACACACACACATACATACACACACACAAGCTCAGAATTGTTTTGCAGTAATGATACCATTTTTTGTTTTTGTAAGTAATATGCAGACAACACTGCACCTATATTGTCTTAATGCAAAAATGACAAACAATAAACAGTACCTTTCATATCATATACAAGTGTCTTTAAGAGATCCTTACATACACCCAACCTAACCATCCTAATCTGTATAAGGCATCGTGCTAGCCTAACTAAACTCGAAATGAATTTATAATTAAGAGAATAAAGGCACATGTTTTCTCCGTCACATTTGATATCTTTATTTGCTAACTACAATCCTTGCATTTGATGTACGTGTCACTGGTTCCTTTTTTCAATGATAGTATCCATACTTCAAGTAATCTCTTCTGTGACTTCATCGTCATTAACGCCTCCCCTATCCTGCATGAACTTCCCTTCACAGCAGAGTGGAACTTCGCCTCTATTACACTCTTGCTCGAAACAAAGTAAACATAGCTTACATCTTCAACCGGCAAGCATAAAACTCAGGAGAGAAAGTGTAACATTACAAGAAAATGATCTTTACAAGTGCAACAGGATATCATATGATCACGTCGGATTCCATTTGACTAGTAAAACAAATCCAATAGGGGTCTGAAGCCTCTATCACGCTTATTGTATCTATTATTTAATCAAGGATAAAAGGGTTAATTCAAAATCTTCGTTTCGTTTGTCATTTTGTTTGTAGGTCAACTGTTCCATAAGACATAACGGATTTTTTTTTCTCAAGTTCTGGGTTCGTCACTTGACCGTCTTTAAAATACGTCCCTGTTTTTTTGAGACGTGAAGGAAGTGCGTCGTTCCAGTAACTGTACTTTGTGAGCTAAAAGAAGAAGCTAAAGAAAAACAAAAAAATATCGGATTCTCAGCCTTAGTAACACTGCTCCCAAATTACATTCTTCCGTTCATTCTTCCTTGTTCATAGAATATTTCTCTTTCGAAATAATAGTGTGGAGCTTGTAGCCATGATTCCCGATATCAGAGCATATTTCCAAAGTATATTAGATAAATTGGTTGTCTGTGGGAAAATATGCATAGTATAGTAATACTAAGTGCTGAGACCAGGGAGACCCACAAAACAAGAACTCGAGTAGAGTGACCTC